GCCTGGGCAGGGGACCCCCAGCTCCCCACCATTGCCAGCTCTACCCCTGCTCCCCGCGATTGCTGGCTCCACCCCTACCCAGGCCTAATGATTCTGACTGAGGTTTTAGGCCTGGGCAGAGGACCCCCAGCTCCCCACAATCACGGGCTCCGCTCCTGCTCCCCACCATCGCTGGCTCCCCAACTGCTCCCCACCATCCTTGCTCCGCACATGCCTAGGCCTAATGCTTCTGACCGAGGCGTCAGGCCTGGGCAGGGAACCTCTCAGCTCTGATTGCAGGATCTGATAGCCGATAGCTGCTGGGTGCCTACATATGCAAATTAATTGCCATCTTGGTGGCAGTTAATTTGCATATCATGCTGATTAGCCAATGGGAGGCGTAGCGAAGGTACGGTCAATTGCCCTGTTTGTCTATTATTAGATAGGACTAGAGGCCTGAGGAGACCCTGCAGTGTAAGCGGCCAGAGCCACACCCAGGCTCCCACTATCTGTCCCCTGGCTCCTCCCCTGCACCTTCTGTTCTAGGGAAATGGAATACGTCCCTGAGAGAGGATTAAAGAAATCCACAGTGACGTCTGAATAAAAGTGTGTGGGAGCTTGAGCCTATGCTGCTTTCCATGGTCCCCACAGTGATCAACTCCCATAGCCTGAGTTCATTCATTAGAATGAACAACAGATCACCTCCAAGGTGCACTGACGTGGTGTGTCCCTGGCCTGAGCCACGGGAGGGCACAGGGCCCTCAGAGTGTCCAGAGTGTCCTGGGAAGCGAAGGAAGATGCTACTTAAAATATAGGAATGTAAGTGTGTCGCCAAACACAGGGTCCCCGCCCAGGCCACCTGAGCTTCTCTAGCAGCACCCCCACCCGCTGACACCAGAGCAGAAGCTGAGAGCAGTGGCCCTGTAGCCGTCACATCCAGTGTCATTAGTGACCACAGGGCCTGCTCCTCCATGTGCCTCAGGATCTGCAACCAAATCCCCGTGCGTCTTATCCCCTCTCTATCCCCACAGCCATGACTCCTCATGTCTCCACCCTGAGAACCGGGAGCTGGTTATTTCTGATTTCCAGGGAACATGAGACCGACAGGGAAAGAGAGGCTTCTAGGGCGTTGCCATACCCAGAGCTCACCCAGCAAAGCCCCAGTTCTCCCCACCATCTCGGGGCCTCGGCTGCCAGCAGCTCCTTACCTTTCTGAGCCCTGAAGTAGATGAGCAGCCCCGCCCCGAGGAAGAGCAGCCCCAGCACGAAGCCCCCGGCTCCACTCAGCACCTTGCTCTGTGCGGATCCAGACTGGGCCCCTGAGAGAAGAAGCTGGTTTCAGTGGGTTTTGGCCCAAAGCAACTTCTCTAATGGAGACCCTGGGATTGAGAGCTTGCGGGGAGGAGGGGGGTTGGGGAGTGGGGAGGCTGCCCTAGAAGAAGCAGAACAATAGCCATTTCCAGGAAAGAGACTGAGGTCACACTGAGCAGGTACAAGGCCCAGGCACTGGTCTCAGGTCCCCTCACACCAGACCCAAGGCCACTGCTTCGGCCTCTGAGGCTGCGGAGCTCGGGGCTCATGACCTCCAGGACTTGGCCCGGGTGACAGAGCCGCAGACGGCAGAGCAGAAGGGGCTCTCCCGTGGCAGGAAGGTCCACAGGCTCTAGAGGATGCATATCTTCCCAGATCACAGTGGGCAGCTCAGTGCAGGCAGAAGCACCCGCCCAGCCCACAGGGGATGGTGCCCAGGGCCAAGGGGCACCATGAGGGGAGAGTGTGATGAATTCAAAGCAGGGCAGGCAGGGCGGCCTCCCGGGGCTATGGGTGTCCACAGAAGCGATCACAGGGCTACCCTGTGGCCTGTGCTGCAGGAGAGACAGAGCAAAGGAAAACAGGGTGTGGGGAGAGGGGACCCTGACCCTCAGGGACAAGCAAAGGCCCCTGAGGGGGGAGGCATGTGAGGTCAGAGGGCGTCTCACTCCATTCCACAGTGACAGGGCTGGTGCTGCTGGGGTGCCGCACTTGGCAGGTGTAGACCTCCCCGCTCCGGGGAACTGTTTCCAGCATCACCAGGGTCTGGAAGGTCCAGTCCCCGTTCCGGATCAGGCCCGTGGACACCACCCCGGCCTCCTCTTCCTGGCCATTGCGCAGCCAGCGGACCTCAATGTGGCCCGGATAGAAGCCGTTCACGGAGCAGACCAGGAGGTTGTGGTGCTGCAGGCGCTGGGTCTTTGTAGGATACACGGTCACTGTGGGCTCAGCTGGGACAGAGAAGGCGGAGGGAGACGTGAGCAAGACAGGCAGGCCCTGGGTTGCCCCTCTTTGGCCTCGTTTCCAGCCCCAGGCTCCAGGCCCCGGCTTCCCCCGCTCAAATCCGCCCTGTGGCCCCGCAGGAGGTAGTGCCATGGGCCTTGAATCTCCATCTACATCACGGGCTGCTGGATTTGAGAGACACTGAGGAAATTTGTGTGGGTTTTTTTTCCCCATAATTTGAAACAGTTACTCATCATTGAATTGACGTGTTTACAAATCTTTGCGAGGCACAGAGTGTGTGAGTTCCAGTGTGATTTCTGGGGCAGGGCTGCCTGGTCACATCCAGGCTGTGCCTCTTACTGGCTGATCCTGGGAGATCCTCTCTGCTCAGCTCCTCACCTGCAAAGGGTGTGGTAATACTAACTCACCGCTTAAGGACATATGAGG